TCTATATTTTTCTGGTACACTTACATCTATAAATCCTCCTTACTGTTGCCATTTTTGTCAGTTACAGTTGCACTACTTATGTCTTTTGTTTCTACAGCTGTTGCCTTCCCTACTACACTACCACGTCTTAAGGTCATTGTTCTATTGGTATTGTTAACTAATAAGACTGGTATCTAAAAGGGATTTTTTACCTGAGCTATGCTTTCCTGTAATACTACCCCGGGTTCATTATTTATACAAGGTGTCTCTTCACTTTATATTTCAGGAGAAATATTCAGTAATCTTGACTTGGGCACATCAAAGCTTCTAACAAGTTTAATATTGCATATGGTAGCTGTTTGTGGTCTTAAGACAGTTTTCTTGGTCATGCGAATTATAGAAGCAATATGTACATCTTCCTCTTAGGGAACATATGTCTTTCCTATACGCATGCATGCCAAATCAAAGTACATTCTAACGCCATTTTTTCTTAACCAATCTAGTCCAAGAATACAGTTCCTATTCATTCCTTTAACAACATAAAACGTGTGACTTAAGGTCATGCTTCTCATTTGAATAGGAAGTTCAACAGAACCTATTACCTCGATTGGTGTACTACCGACTGTCTGGAGGGTCATGTTTTCTTTTCTTAATCTTGGCTTCTTTGGAAAAGTCTTAAAAATCCTATCATTTATAAGGGAAACCTCAGCTCCAGTATCTATCAAGACTCTAACTCTTTGTTTACCTAATTTTATCACAGTTGTACTTGGGTTACCTGATATATTTATTGTCTTAGATACAGGATTACTTGACCTAATTTTCCTCTCTCCGTCGGTTTCCTTATGGGGAGAGGTTTTTAGTTTAACTGAGTATTTCTTGGGTAACTACCACTTAGGCGAGGGCAATTTCTTTTTATATGTCCTACGTTATTGCAATGCCAACACACTAACGTGGGTGTATATAACCGGTTGTTTTCGTGATTGTCTTGTCTTACGTCTTGTCTTAAAGCCTGCACATGATTAGATTTAGGAGGAACTAATGGTGTTTTTGCTTGAGAGCTGTTTGTTTGGGTGTGGCTATTGCCTTTATGATTCCTTGGATGTTGGAACCTACTTTGTCTATCCGAATTGTACTGTCTGAACCTTGGTCTGTCTATAAATGGGGTGTGACCTTGCCATAACATTATCTCTTTTACATCTATAGCATTGTCTTTGTCTTGAATGGTCTATTTCCATAGGGACAATTTGTCTTGGGTCGTTGTCAGAATGTCTTGGGACTGTTTTTGGTTCCAATCTTTGGGAATCTACTTTATGAAAGACATCACTTTTATCTTTTCTTAAATCAAACCGTTTTCTTAAGTTTTGTTCCCTCATTGCTATGCCTACAGCGTCTTCTGAAGTCTGGGGGTTTCTCTCATGACTTTCATTTTAAGGTAGTCATATGCCAACCCGTCGCAAAAGGTATTAACTAATTGCTGTTGCACTATTCCCCTATCATTGTCTTGAGCATTAGTGTAAGCGTCTTCAGCTATCTGTAGAAGTCGTTCTGCAAATATTTGCACACTTTCAGTGTCTTTTTGCCTAGTTTTTCTCAACAAGGCCAGGGCCTGTTGTGAGTCTGTTATCTCAGCAAACCTTTGCTTTAATAAATTCTTTAAATCCTCCCAACTAAGGATTCCATCTCCTTCCATAGAATCAATGTACCTTTTAATAAAATCACCTACTGACCCCGTACTTGTCTGGTAAGCTATATTTGGTATGGACCTATTGTCCAACCCTACCAATTTAGCATATTTTTCTATTTCTTTGATCCAATCCTTAAACTTTGAAGGGTCACCTTCAAAAATCTTTACTATTTGAAACACACCCTGTGCTGTCATAGCCGCCGAAAGACTTTTGAACTGTTGCGCCATGCTTATGAGTACCTCCCCATCATCTTGAGGAGTCCCTCTCCCAGGGGCACTTGAGGATGGATTTTCCCGAGGGGGGAGTCTTTCATTTAACTGGGGGGTACCTAGGTTAGCCATTCTCTCAGCAATACTACTCATTTCTTCATCTGATAACAAGCTAACCATGACGTCATAAGATATCCTACTTCATTACAATTAATAACCTAATTATAAACAATTGAAGATGCCGCCAAAGGTCAGTGATAAGGTACAAAATGGGAAAAGAGTTCCACCTACCTTATAAGAGCCAATCCAGTTAAGATGTTGTTACTGGATCCTGGTCACGGCACCAAATCACCACTTGTAACCCCACTGTGCCCCCGCTCTCGTTCTGTTCCCGAATTCCTTTCTACTTGTTGTTTATATATAGCACATTGAAGTCCACAAGAAGGCTCGCTCCCTATCACGCTTCAGTAGAGTCAGTCTCACAACCGGAAGTTGTCCCTTTGGCATCCCTAGATCCAAGTGCAATGAGCAGCGAAAACTGCCCAGTATTTATAGGGGAAGCCAAAAGTCGGACAACTCCGCAGGTGGAAATTCCTCAAGAACAATGGTTGATCCTGGCGACCCAACCATATCAAGATTCTGTCAAAATGATACCGATTTGGACACAAAATGCAGAATCTTGGCGCCGTTTGTTATTGTGTATGGGATAAGTGCTGATGGATTGAGGATGCACATTTAGTGCAACGACCGTTGATTGGTCCATTCCCCAATCCCAGGAAGCTATTGTCTGGAATGACAATTGGTACCACCAGTCTTCAGACCCACCGCATATTGGTCACTATTTACATATATAATAATCAAATACTTAACAATTACGCAGAACCTAACATCTGCTAAATCGGTCATGTTTACCTTACATACTCATAATGCTGTACTAAGCAACTATATACAATTCACTATCTAAACTATTATTTTCTCGTGACCTTGCAATATTTTACGTTATAATTATACAATCATCGTTACTCTAACTGTACTGCACTGTTTATATATACACATCACATTTGTCTATATGAATTCTGGATACCATTGTTTACATAAGTCCCTACTTGCCTATGCAGTGCTGGACATGTAAAGGTCCAATTTGGTGCAATATACTATATACATATTTAACACTCAATTCCTGTTATAAGCTAAATTAAACAACAATATATTCATGAAAATTATTATTTTCATATTTAAAATTTCCAACCAACATTATATACAATAAAATACTGCTTCCTGTTCATATAACCATTTCCAGTTTAACAACAGAGTGATCTACTTGATAGTGTCACAGATTGCGTTAGTATTGGTCTACAAGTATTTTTGCCAAAACGTTTCATGCTGATTTATTGGGTAAGTAGAAGTATTCCTAGCATCCCACTCTTTAAGTTAATTGTACGAAAGTATGCGACGCAAGATGAAAGGTTATCTACAGACATGGAAGTAAGTGTTGATGAGTCCTCTAGCAATACAGGTGAGGTTTCAAAAAACACCGAAAGGGATCGAAAACACACTGAAAAAGGGATGGAGTATAATATTAATCGGTGTTGTGCTAAATACCATTCTGCTGTGTCTGCATGGCGCAAGCATGCAAATAGAATAGAAGTTCTCCGATCAGACTCGACTAATCTGACCGATATTCGATCGGAACGCGATTTGTGCGAAAATCGTTTAACTGATATTTCCGCGACAATATCCCAGCTTACTCAGTTGTTTGATGAATGCAGAGAAGAAGAGGTTTTCAAACAGTACGAAAACCTAGAACATGAGATGCTGCAACGATATGATGTCATCGAAAGTGAACATCAGCATATAATGCGTGACGTCGCTGACCGCATTCGCGAGATCGAGTCTGATAACGCGGAATTGAGTTCGCGACACAAAAGTCGTTCATGTCATAGTGGCTTCAGATCTGGGTCATGTGGCTCTACTGGAAGTACTTTAAAATCAAGAAGGTCAGATACCGCTGTTAGAGCAGCTGAGCTCAAGGCCAAGCTCAAGTTCATCGACATTGAGGCGAAACCTAAAGCTGACTTGAAAAGGGTTCAGACAATGAAACAGCTTGACATTGAGCAAGCTAAGTTAGAAGTCATGGACGATTTGGAGGAAAGTTTATTTTCGTCCAATGTTAAACCTTCACTTAAACTGTTGCCTCGAGAAAGGGTTGAAAGGGACGACTACGTTGAGAAGTATGTACGGGAACATGCGTATAGGCCGGTAGTAACTGAAGATGGTCTTAGCCCTACATCGAACATAGCCACTGCTACTAGTATAATTTCGACAGCTTCAAATGATTCTCGATTCGGAGCTGCTGTTATTTCAGAACCCGTAACATCCGCTGTTACTAGTACTGTCAATACGGTTAGTGGGGTGTTCCCTAGTGTTAACTTAAATTTAGGTATGCCATTACTTAAAGGTGTAGCCAGTACGTTAAACCCATTTCCCTGGGAATTTGTGCCAAAAGGCGCACTTCCGTTCCCTACTGCGTATAATAGCGCTCGGACACAAACCACGTGGATGCCAGAATCTCAGTATTTGCGTACCGATATGTCGACCAACCACAACGCGTCTAGCAATGCAGCTGATCAGGGATCTGCCACGAACCTGCCCTTGCCAAATGTCAGAACAAGGGCTGATGGCACTTGCGAAATCTCTTGCCGAGCAGGTTACTTTAAGTCGTCTTCCGCCCCCAGAACCGAGTGTATTTTTCGGAGATCCTCTGCAATATCCTGGTTGGAAGGCCGCTTTCCAGACTCTAATAGAAGAGAGGAAGATACCGTCATCCGAAAGAATACACTACCTCAAGAATTATCTCGGTGGTTCTGTGAAGGAAGTGGTTGAGAATTACTTTCTGTTGTCAAGCGATGACGCTTATATGGATGGCAAGAACTTGCTCGACGAGCGATAAGGCGACCACTTTGTTGTAGCTAATGCTTTTCGTGACAAACTCGATAAATGGCCGAAGGTTAGTTCTCGCGATTCCAGTGGGTTGCGAAAGTTTTCGGACTTCCTCAGACAATGCCTCGCGGCATCGCAGAGCATAGGTAGACTGGACGTTCTCAATGACAGTCGAGAGAACAAGAAGATGCTATCCAAACTCCCAGACTGGATTGTCACCAGATGGGGAAGAATTGTAAACCAAACAAAGGAAGAAGGGAATAACTTTCCTCCCTTTAAGGACTTTGTAGCATTCGTTCAGAAGGAGGCGAAGATTGCATGCGATCCAGTCACTTCACTGCAGTCTTTCCGTACAGATCATGGGGATGATTCGAAATCTGCTAAGGTCACAAGACCTACAACAGGACGAACGCTGATGACAGAGGCTTCGCCGAAGGAAGCTAAACCCTGTGGAACTTGTATTTTGTGTAAGAATAACCACGATCTGGATTGTTGTAAACAATTCCTATCCAAACCGTTGGATAAACGTAAGGAATATGCAAGGGAGAATGGTCTTTGTTTTGGATGTCTTGGGACAGGACACATATCAAAGAAATGTACTCAGCGGAAACAATGTAAAACATGCGCCAAACCCCATCCCAGTTCCTTACATGGCGATCTGCGAAAGTCAAAGCCTAATGACAAAAATAATAATGTTATAAATAATACGAACCTTGATGGCGTTAAGGCTCCTGCGTCTACTAATTCCCATGTGCACGCTGCATTCAACAGTACAGGTACAAGTTGTATACCAGTGTATATTTCTCATTGTGACAACCCCGGAAGGGAGAAATTGGCTTATGCCTTGTTGGATACGCAGTCAGATACTACGTTTTTTCTGGAGGATACGTGTAGATCTCTTGGAATTTCGGGTATGTATGTCAAACTTCTGCTTTCTACCATGTATGCAGAAAATCGAGTAGTGGACAGTCGCAAGGTAAAGGGCCTCGCCGTCCGTGGATTTAACAGTTCTCTGAGCATACCACTCCCCGATACTTTCACACGAAGCATCATGCCGGCCAACCGAGCCCACATTCGTACACCGGAAAAGGCCAGACAATGGTCTTACTTGGAGCCTATTGGTGAGCTAATGCCGTTAACCGATTGCGAAGTCGGACTGCTCATCGGATATAATTGTGCGCGTGCGTTGGCTCCGCGTGAGGTAATTGCGCCAAGCGACAGTAGACCCTATGGTCAGAGGACTGACCTTGGATGGGGCATTGTGGGTACTGTTGATGGGGCTAGTGTAGAAGACGTTGATCCTGTTGGCACGAGCCATCGTAGTATTACGTGTACGGTGCCACCTGCTCTATCATCGGGTGATAGCGAAAAGGTTCCTGACCATGTAGTCTTCTCCTTTAGGTGTAGTATCAAGGAGATTATTAATCCCGAAGAACTCGCGTTGATGCTAGAACAGGATTTCAACGAACCCAGTGATACCAACGCAACTTATTCGCATGAGGATCGTCAATTCCTCAACCTGCTGAAGGACGGAATTCACATCGACAACGGACATTATGAGATGCCATGCCGTGCCTTCCTAACAACAAGACGTTGGCACTAAGTCGACTTAAACAACTGAAGAAACGCTTGGATTCTAACAACAAATACCGGGAGCACTATACTTCTTTCATGGCAGAGCTAATAGGAAAGGGCTTTGCAGAAAGAGTCCCAGAAGCTGATATCGAGCTTGAAGACGGGCACGAATGGTATATTCCTCATCGTGGTGTTTATCACCCCCAGAAACCGAATAAAATTCGGGTAGTCTTTGTTCAAGTTCAAGGGAGAATCCTTAAATTCTCACCTTTTACAGGGACCAAATCTTACCAATACTCTTATCGGTGTCCTGTGTCGTTTCCGTAAAGAGCCGATTGCGTTTATGTGCGACATCGAACAAATGTTCCACCAGTTCAAGGTAAACGTTGAACTCTGAAACTATCTCCGATTCTTGTGGTGGGAAAATGAAGACAGCCGTGATGAGCCGATTGAATATCGTATGAGTGTTCATCTTTTCGGCGCCTCGTCATCGCCTGGTTGTGCCAACTTTGCCTTGAAACAAATGGCCTCTGACAACGAAGAGGAATTCGGATCAGATATTGCGAACTTTATAAAGCGTGACTTTTATGTCGACGACGGGCTGAAGTCCTTACAAACTATCGACATGGCTGTGGACATGATCAAAGGCAGTAAGGATATGTGCGGCAAAGGTGGATTGCGTCTGCATAAATTTCTGTCAAGCTCGAAGGAGGTGTTGAAGCACATTCCTGAAGAAGACCGAGCCAAGGGACTCGAGGACATTGACGTAGTCCATGATAAACTTCTGTTGAACGAGCTCTTGGCATACAGTGGTGTATAGAATCAGACTCCTTCCGGTTTCGAGTTGTTGTGAACGATCGCCCGCTGACTAGACGTGGGGTTCTATCAACTCTCTGCTCGGTTTACGATCCATTGGGATTTATCTCTCCGTTCATTCTCGTTGGCAAACAGATTTTGCAGCAGATGTGCAAGGGTCATGCGGACTGGGACAGTCCACTTCCTGACACTTTGACGACAAAATGGGAGCGTTGGAGAGAGGACCTGAAGAACCTCAAGAACATTCAGATCAAACGGTGTTTGAAACCTGATGATTTTGGAGATGTCATCTCGACTGAGCTTCATCATTTCTCGGATGCGAGTACTAGTGGTTACGGCCAGTGTTCTTATATTAGGCTAGTCAACAGTGAGCAACGAGTGCATTGTGCGTTGTTAATGGGCAAGGCAAGGGTAGCTCCGTTAAAAACCCGTTACGATTCCCCGGCTAGAACTTGTGGCAGCTTTGGTGTCCGTGCGAGTGAGTTCCATGCTGCTTCGGGAACTTACATGCGACCATGTTACGCAGTGGTTCTGGACTGATAGTAGTGTGGTCCTGGGATATATTGGGAACGATTCTCGGAGATTTCATGTATTTGTGTCCAATCGCGTAAAACAGATTCGGGACCACACAGAGCCATCTCAGTGGAAACACGTCAGCACTAGGAACAACCCCGCTGATGTTGCGTCTCGAGGTGCAACGGCTGACGATTTGGTGAAGCATACAAATTGGTTAAGAGGACCAGAATTCCTTTGGAAAAACGACCCCTTTGTAGAATGTGATATTTTGGACAAACCCGTTCTTTCCCCGGATGACCCAGAGGTTAAGAAGGTTCAAGTGTTTGACACGGTGGTTGAGCCAGCTAGTGAAGGTTCATTACTGGACTGCCTGGAATATTTCTCCGATTGGACGAGAGCCAAGAGAGCAGTAGCTCTGTGCTTGGAATTCAAACGCATGTTGAGGACCAGGTCTATTCGGAGGCGAAATGTGTCCGTAGAGGACCTTCAGAATGCAGAGGTGGCTATTGTCAAGCTTGTTCAGGAAAATGCCTTTAAGGAGGATATCGAGCTTCTTCGTGCCTCCGAGATGTCTTCAGATAACTGCGATCAGAAACGGAAATGTCGTCTCAAAGGTACATCGTCTCTGTGTGGTTTGGATCCGTTCCTCGACGAAAGGGGAATTCTGCGAGTCGGTGGACGTATTCGACAGGGTGAATTTAGTACCGAAATGAAGCATCCTGTCATTCTCCCCAGGAAGGCTCATATCACTGAGCTTGTGGTTCGTCATTTTCACCAGATTGTGAGGCACCAAGGACGTGGTATAACCACAAACGAAATTAGAGCCAATGGCTTCTGGATTATCGGATGCAGCTCTGCTGTTTCGAGTTGTATCTACAAATGCGTAACATGTCGCAAGCTGCGAGGCTGCTCTCAGGGTCAGAAGATGGCTGACTTGCCTGCAGATAGACTGCAGTCTGAACCTCCATTTACGTTTAGTGGAATGGATCTCTTTGGTCCCTTCTACATCAAGGAAGGCCGAAAGGAGTTGAAGAGGTACAGTGTTCTATTTACGTGCATGTCGAGTCGTGCCATCCATCTGAAAACGGCAAACTCTCTGGATACCAGCTCGTTCATTAATGCACTAAGAAGATTTCTCTCTATTCGTGGTCCAGTAAGACAATTGAGATCGGACAGAGGAACAAATTTTGTGGGTGCTGAGCGCGAGCTCAAAGAGGTTCTTCTGGAACTTGATGATCAGGCGCTTCAGCGGTACCTCTCCGACAAGGGTTGCGATTACATTGGCTTCAAGATGAATGTACCCTCCGCTAGCCACATGGGTGGTGTATGGGAGAGACAGATCCGTTCGGTCAGGAATGTTCTTGCGTCGTTGATGCACCAGTCTAGTTCCCAGTTGGACGACGAGACCCTTAGAATCTTCTTGTGTGAAGTTTCGCTATAGTGAATAGTAGACCACTCACTGTTACTAACCTGGATGATTCACACTCGGTGGAACCTTTGACTCCGAATCACTTGTTGACCATGAAATCAAAGATAATCTTGCCGCCGCCTGGTCAGTTCCAGCGGACAGATCTCTATTGCCGTCGAAGATGGCGTCGTGTGCAGTATCTTGCCAACGAATTCTGGAATCGTTGGAGAAAGGAGTTTCTCCAGAATCTACAAGTGAGAAACAAATGGACTTCTCCAAAGCGAAACGTGGAAATCGGAGATGTAGTGATCATCAAGGATGACAACTTGTCGAGGAATCACTGGCGTCTTGGCCGTGTCGTCGAGACATTTATCGAAAAGGATGGACTAGTGCGCAAGGTTAGACTTGCTGTTGGTGTTCCTACGCTGGACAAGCAAGGTAGACGAGATGGTCCAGAGAACTTTCTTGAGCGACCGATACACAAGTTGGTGCTATTACTCGAGACCGAGGAATTCCCCACCGAGGAGCCAGAGTAGTATAGTAGTCCAATCGTACAATTAGTACAAGATATGAGCAAGTGTTCACTCGTCAAATCCAATAGAGGTATAGTATTCTAGTCAGTTTATCTAGTCACGTTAACGAAGTTTGTCTAGTCAATTTCAAATGCGTCAGGTTTGTATAGTCAGTACTACCTAGTTATTGAAATGGTTGGGTAAAATAAGTTTCCCTAATTTTGGGGAGCCATGTAACAGTACGTGATAAGGCGGTAGGAGTTAGCTCCCTTGATCGGAACTCTCTAACTTGGTTGGGTGCGTTTGTTGGTAAAACCTGCGGGAACCGAGACCATGGGGTTGGGTCTCTGCGAGGATTCCTGTTTGTTTTCTGCGTTGCGAGTAAGCCCAAGGAGGTTATTACTATTAATTGTTATTTTTCTACAATCGTATTTGTTCCGGAATGCTATCAAATACTGTAATTTCGATTCTAGTCAACAAATTGCTTGTCAAATTCGCTAATATGCATAACTGATTTCCATCAAATATTTACTGGCAGATTGAAGTGCTTTCTATGTAATTAATGTTTTATAATCGTAATCTAATAGTGAGAATCTGTAAACTTTGTATGTTTTAGTTTTCACGGTGAAGTTGAAGTTTAAGTGTGTAGATTCTGCGTTCGATATATCCAATAAACAAAGCTTCATCTGTAATTCACAAAGACTCGTTGGCTTACTTACGTGGGAGTTGCGGCCCCTTGATCTTAACCAGTTTGCGAAAACTATAGTGCACGTCACCTATATTGGTCTGTGTGCTACTGTCGTTACAACACTGTTGTTTTAGCAAATAATCAGACAATATCTATTACAGGAACTGCTTGTATCAAGATATGTGTAGAGGGAGCAATACATAACATACCTGTCCATATTCTACCGCATACCTCTCACCCGCTTATTCTTGGGATTCAATATTTACGGGACAAAGGAGTTGTTCTGAACCTTTCTGACCAGACATGCACATTTGGCACTACTACCGTGAAATGTTCTCGAAGAACTGTTATTCCTGCAAATACAGAGGTAGTGATTTGGGGAACACTTCCGAACTTAGAGATGTCCTTTTATGGTTCTCAATGTGATTGCTGTAGTAGCAGGTATTGTCAGCTTCTAGTGGCCAAGACACTTGTTACTGTATCCCATGACAATATGGTATCTATCAAAAATTTGAACTCTACATCTACATCTAAAACGATTCTATCAGGGAAACCTATTACGGAATTCGAACACACAACAGCCCAATGCGAAACCGAAACATCAGCGGCCTTATCGATTACCACCAGACAAAAGAGAAGTTCTCGGACTTGATGAACATCTTCGCCAATGAATCATTTCTCAGGTAGATGAATCAGAAAAGATCCTGATCACTAGTCCTGTTGTCCTTGTTTCGAAAAAGTCCAGTTACTAAGGAATCCAGTCTTTCCGAGTTCTGGTTCTGTGCTGACTTCCGCTATTTAAACTCACAGACCCAGACATTTCAATATGAGATTCCCAACCTCAATGCGCTGACAGAATCCTTCTCTGACAAAACCCCTTAATACTTCACTTCGATCGATCTCTCTTCAGGATCTTCCAAATGCCTATTGATTCGGACAACGCCAGACTCACAGCACTCAATACATGCTATGGTATATATAGGTTCTAGAGACTACCGATGGGTTTAAGCTCAGCTCCAAGTACCTTTCAGCTGTTGATGGACAAAGTGCTCCGCGGCTGTACCTTTAAATCTTGTCTGTGCTATTTGGATGATATTCTTATCGCATCATCTACTGTTTCACAACACTTGGAAGACCTTGATGGTTACAACTAGGTCCTAGGAAATGCTCCTTCGCTCAAGAATCATGTATTTTTCTCGGTCACCTAATATCGAAGGATGGTATTTCACCGCCACTTGACCGGGTTATGGCTGTACAGGTACATCAGTATTCCACAAAAAAATCAAAGCTCTTCGGCGCATTCTTGGCCTTTTTGACTGGTTTCGAAAGTTCATTCTGAAATAGTGTTGCCGCACAACCACTAGTTCACCTCACACAAAAAGGTATACCCTTTCGATGAACAGAAATACATCAAACGGCATTGGACAATCTAAAAACCCTTTCGCAGAACTCAAGAGTTCTTGCTTTTCCAAACTTTGATTTGACCTTCTGCCTTGCTGTTGATATCTGCGCGAACGGAATTGGTTATATGCTCTACTAAAAGCCCAATGATACCTCTGCAGATTTCCGTGTCATCAGATTTGGATCAAAATCACTCAGTAAGTGGCAGCAGTCGTACGGCCAAACTAAACTAGAACTATTGGGAATGGTAACAGCTATCCTGGATTGTGCTACTCATCTTCGGGAACGGAAATTCATCGTAGAGTGTGACCACCAAACTTTACGGCCATTGTTCCAAAAGCAAATGAAAGGGGTCATATATGAAAGGTGGATCGCGATCTTACAACAATTCAATTTTGAGATATGTTATAAACCGGCAGCACAGATGCAAGTTGCTGATACGTTGTCGCGATCTCCTCAGCCAAGTAATGACTCCAACAGTCCAGATGAAGATGATTCGTACTTTCCGTACTTAAAAGACAACACGGGGAACATAGTGGTACCAAATAGTCATTTTCTACATGGTCTGTAAGCTGATGATTCGCTTGATACCTACAAAATCTCTTGTTAGCACACGGACTCAAGAGGAAGTGTATGACGCTGATTCAGGGGATGTGGAAGAACTCAAAATACGAACGCGATCAAAGAAATGTAAAAGCCGAAAACAGTGCTTTCGGACACCATTTATCAATAAAGACATAAAGATCGATATTGTGGAACCAAGTGATATTTTGGACAAATCCTGCTCTTTGACAACGCAAAGTTGTTCGTGTGATTCTTCGAACCAATCAAGTTCGATAAAGTACATTTCCTCTGATGCCTTAACAGACAAAGATGCAGTCTCCTTTTAGCAATAACAATGAAGATTTTGGTGCACCAAGCGTTACGATGGATCCATGGGGTCAGAGCGAGCATAGTGCTGCACAAAGCACGGCAGTAGATTCATCAGACTAAACTGAGGATAATAATAAGAAATGCTTGACATCAGATTATGTAGCCACAACTACTGACAATACTGATCCGCTATTGGATCAAGTGCGAGCCATTGACTTATTTTCTAAAGGAACTTTTGATCTTGACACAGTCAAGACCCTACAGCATCAAGATAAAGCCTTGCGTGTATTTATTGACTACCTCTTGCATGATTGCTTGCCTTCGTCACAAAAAGAATCACGGCGTGTGTTAATTGAAGGTTCTGACTACCTACTTCATGAAAGAGTTGCGAATTGCAAATACAATACGAACGGAATCTCTACAACATTATCAGTTGGCAATTCCAGATGTCATGGTACGAACAGTAATAAAACTTTACCATGACACCCTTTTAGGAGGCCATGGCGGCATCCAACATGGAGTAAATAGTATACGGGATTGGTATTTTTTCCGCGTCTTGCTACAATTGTTGCAGATTTTGTTCGATCCTGTCCACAATGCCAGGCTAGGAAAACCACTCGAGCCCACACGAAATCTGGAATCGTGGCCTTTCCGACACCAACGCAACCATTCGACGTATGGGAGATTGATCTGTATGGGCCAGTACCTGTCGATCGCCATGTTCAGTAAATACCTTTTTGCAGTTCCAATTCGCAACAAAGACGCTATCACGGTAACAGAAGCAATTTACTCGCTTATCACAACATTTGGTGTATGTAAAACATTGATATCAGATCAAGGATCCGAGTTTATCTTAAAGTGCACCAAAGAGGTTTGTCGTCTTCTTGATATCAAGTAGCAATTTACGCCGAGTTTTACTCACCATTGCCTTGGATCTGTGGAGAGAACGCACAGGACACCCAACAGATTTTGACACTATCCCGAGGGACTACAACCACTATATCAAGATGATTAGTGAACGCTTGGATACAATCCGAGAAGATGTTTCCAAACATGCCGCAGTCGCTAAGGATGCTTTCTTGAAAAGGGAAAACTCTAAAACCAAGCCCTTACATGTGGATGCTGGGGATTATGTGTACTTGTTGAAAGACCCTACTGGAAAAGGACAGAAGTTTCAGAACAAGTATGCTGGGCCCTTTGTTATTCATGGGGTATTTTCATCTCATCTAATGCATCTAATGGACCCTACCTCTGCCAAATTACTACCTCGCCAGATCCACATGAACCGCCTTAAACTCGCGTATGTCCGTGTTCCGGAACCTACAGGATACTTTCTACCGAAAGTTACTCGGACACAAGCACAGCCAAATCCACCAGGTAATCAATTGGTCTATTTGATCACTACAAACATAGATACTGTATCTGGTGATGACAGTGTATACAATACCGGAACCAAAGAGGATAGTGAGCCCTCCGGCTCTATCACTAAAGAGAGTGGAAATCAGACGGATTCATCTGTAGATGACACTGTCTGCGGGTCTAGCAAGCATTCAGACTTG